GCTCTTGAAACAAAAGACTATATAGGTTTGCGAGATCCAAGGATCACTCTGCTTCTTGTGGGTCATGGTGGAGCTTGTTGAGGAAGAGAATGGTAACCAAATTCGCTTAAACATATATAGATAAACTCAGTTTTTGATGCTCAATCCGAATAAGAAATTTTTTAGAGAAGAGTTTTAGAAATTTTCGATCAGTGTAAACGGAAGAATTATTGAATTTATGAAGTTATAGGTCAAATTTTCATTTTTTGACAAGTAACTTGTATTTTAAAGATTTCTCGGCCAAAACATGATCGAAGAAGTCTAAAAAGGACATATTCTTGATCAGCTCGCCGAGCTCTATCCAACTATGTATGATGCTACCCAAGCAATTTTCTGTTTACCTTTTGCATTTCCTGCACCTTAAAAGGATCCACTAGATATTGGTCCTGTGCTAGCCTTTGTTTACAATTTCCTTTCAGATTTTTATTCATATTTTGAAAACAATTTCATTGGAACTCTACGAGCACCGACACGGCGAGCAAATGCTGCTACTACTGTTTCATGTACCGTACGTCGTGATCAGCCTCGTTATGCTATCAGTTTCTGGAATGTGTACGATCGGGTTCATGCAAACCTTCCAAGGGCAAATAATGCCATTGAAAGCTGGAATAGTGCGTTTAATGTAAGTATTATAATTCCTGTGATTCATTTATCAGCCAAAACATTTTACTTTAGCATACGTTGAATATCGACCATCCATCCATCTACAAACTTGCTCAACATCTTCAACGCGAAGAGAACAATTCCATGATAACTGCTACTCAATTGGAAGGGGGAATAATCACAAGTAATCAAAGTTCAAAGCAAGAAAAGATTGATATTCGTATCGCGAACATGGTACATGCCTACGAGCATACGCCCCTTGATGCATATTTGAAACATGCACGAACTGTTTTTAATTTTTGAATATCAGTCCAATTATGTAATCATTTTATTTTGATGTGTGTTAACTAACTATGTTTTACTACGCATGTGCTCATGAAATATTCTTTTTCTAATCAATATAATATACTTAGTATTGTGAACGCTGTTCGGAATCTCTACCACTTTTGAGGATGCCATCTTGAAAGGCATTTAAGTCGTGTAAGAAAGGTCATGATAAGTTAAAATAATTATATAAAAACTCTTTGTTTATTTCAATTAATGAAATTATAACGTTTCGACCTTGAAAATGTCTTAATCAGACATATGGAAAAACTACTACAAACAAAGTTGATAAACAGGCTGTATATATACTAATTTCTAAAAAATTAAGAAATCACCACAAGAACAGTAAGTATAGGTTTCGTATAGGTTTCGAGAATGTCGACCTTCCAAATAATTAATTGTTCGAGGTGTTATATTACGATAATGGTTATACATATGAGGCGGAAATCGACTGAATGGTCCATATGTATTATTATAATAATCAATAAATCCTTGAATACCTGGATAGTCTGATCGCGTACGAATTAGGCACTGCAAACCCCATAACATATGCTTTAATGGTAATAACGATAATGCTGCAAAAGATCTGAACCAATCACAAAGGTTTTCGTCATCTTTGTATTGTGTTTTTAAACCAAGATCAACAAATTTACGATATAGACTTTGTCCAAAATGAAATAAACAACCTCTACCAATAATTCTTGGTATATACATTGGAAACACCCAATTCAAAATCAATTGCAATAGTTCGTAACTTGATAACTAACTGGAATTCGGACATTTTTCTGAAAAGTACTGAAAACAAATGAACATAAGTTTCTTCTGACTTACCTCCAAGTAACGCGAAAACGCATGCGGTTGACGTTCCATTGTAATATGCATGAATCGAATATATTTGATAAAAGATGGATGGACACGTACGATTCAGTAAAGTGAGAGTTTTTGCACTATATTTCTCGTCAACCGACGTTTGAGCGATCGACACTTGAGCTACCCGACACTTGGGCGACTGACATTTGAGCGACCCTAACAATTGAGCGATCCCGACACTAGACTTTTCAGTATGACTTTTTTCTGATCAGGAAAATGGAATGATTGTTCACCTCGATAACGATGATGATAACAATTTCTTTGTCATCGGATTATGAACTGAATTACCTGGAGACCTGTAGAATAATATCGCTTGCATGTTTGCTTTAAACAACTTTTATAATGCATGTGCAGCCGTTAGTAATTACGTTGACTACTCCAAACGTGTTAAAACGTTCCTCTCTGAATGTCGCTTTCAGATCTTCCGGCGCATCCTTAGTCTTAGGCCGGTCCAAGATGTTTATAACAGACGTGTGTTTTATTCCCCTTAATTCTTTCAATGCCTTTCGAGCACATTCTTCTAAAATATCGTTCAGGGCATCATCCAACAATACTCCCATATCTTGTGTCAGATACTTTTTCTTCAGTTGATAATATTTACTGTTTACTTCTTTGATTTCAGCACATGCTCAGCCGATTCATGAGCTATAAATGACAACTGAAAAGGGGAATTTCGAGTGACAATTAAACTAACATTATTATCGATCGTTGAAATCTGAGTAGATCGAAGAATCCTTTCGTCTTCTTCTTCGAATGATGAGTCATCGAAATACCATTGATACTTGTCAGGCAGTTGTGTAGGTTGAGTTGAGTGGTGGTTGAGGCTACAGAAGAAGCTGAAGCAGAAACAACAGGAGCGGAGAGAGAGGCTGAAAGTCAACTTTTGTGTTAATCCAAAACAGCATACGTGTAATAGCGCAGATTCACATAGATGTCTGAGAAGTCTATCACATATAGAATTTTAGACTTTAGTTAGACTATTAGACTTAGATTGAAATAGTTGTGAAGTTTAGGCTAATGAGAGCTGATTTTTGGTGATGCTGGGATGGATGGCGATGCGTGAGTGTGATCGACTAGAGGACTTTCGCTGGGCGTGGATGTTTGTGTTGTATAATGAGTCAGTATTTGTATCGATCGTATACACTGTCAGTGGATGAAACTTCAGTATTGATTGAAAGATATAATCCTCAAGTTTTATCAAAAGGATTTTGTAAGTTTATGAGACTTCCTCGCACTGTAAACAAATAAAGTATGTCAGTGACTTACTGAGTGACTCATGTAGATGGACCCATTCTACCTACTGAGACGATTTTACTCACTGGCGACTTACTTTATTTTTTACAGTGTTGTATAAAAAAATATTTCAGGTTAGAGAGAAGGCGCCTCTGGCTGCCACTTTCTGTGTAGATAAGTTATGAGTACGCGATTTGGACTGACTCTTTTATCTTCTTAATGTCCGCATGACAAGAATATGTTTTTGAATTTTCAAGACAATTCTGCTTTTTGTTTCGTGCCGACCAGCTGCACACAGAGTATTTAGTTAGATGAACACGAAAATATATTACATGCGTTTGTGCACTTTCGTCAAACAGCGGCTAAACAATATGCAACATTCTGAGGCTAATAATCTAAAAGTCGGGTAGTCTATTAGTTCAGGCTTGTCTCCGAAGTCTAACTGAATCTTCGAATTCTACACTACTACTCAGAAAATAAATACCCATACCTTTTCTGACGTCATCAGCTTTCTTGCTTCATTTTTTGGGGCGCGACATTCTTGAAGTTTTTGTGTTAATGTATGTCGACGTTTTTGATATGGTTTACACGATTTACTGTCCGCGGATTTACTGTCTGTTGATTAATTTCTATTTTAATTAGCATTTTTTCATAGAAAAGTATAATTTTCTTATATACGAATTTACTTTGCGTTGATTACATATAAATATATTCCAATTTAGCTATCTTCTTATATATGGATTTACTTTCGGTTGATTATATAGAAATATATCTCAATTAGTCCCTCTTGTATATAAGGATTTAATTTCCACTAGTTATTTGGACCAAAAGCAATGAATGAGCAAACGAATATTCATTGCGACAACGAATAAATTTCCAGGCAGAACAAACATTCATCAATAAGGGAATGATGAACCAAATTGATTAATGTCTAATATTTATTTGGGAAGTAGAGTAGTCGTGATAACATGATAACCTTTAAAAAAATATGTATAAAAGGTACAGATACACCACTCTCTTGCCACACTGTTTTAATAATGTCTGGTAAGTCAGAAGAAGTTTTAATAATGTTTGCTGAATTTGTTGAATCTACACATGGGAGAAGACAATCATGTTACCTGGCTTATCGATATTCTCTCAAACGTAAAAGTCAAAATGGTTCAGAGTATTGGGTACGTGTGAAATGTAACGCTACGGCAACAAGTTATTCGGATGCGTCGATCGTAGTGCGTGACCATCATACACATTTACCTGATGAAACTGATATGGAAATATTACAAATTAGAAAAACTTTAAAACGTAAAGTTATGGAAGAATCTGGCCCAATAGATCGTATAGTCGAAGAAGCATACCACGCTGCTAATCGTCAGTCTCAATCCAGTGATTTGATTTTTAACTTACCGTTGATTCATAGAATGAAAAATACATCACAAAAACAACGTTGTAAGACTGGTTCACCCATTCCCCAATCGATTGAACAACTTCCGTATCCATTACCCGACGTTTATTGCAATACAACAAAAAGTGAGTTATTTTTGTTATACGATGGGTCACTTGGTGGTACTCGTTCACTCGTTTTTGCGTCCTATAATGATATCGTTTATCTATCACAACAAGAACACTGGTACAGTGATGGTACATTTTATACGTGTCCATCCATTTTTTATCAAATATATTCGATTCATGCATATTACGATGGAATGTCAACCCCATGCGTTTTCGCGTTACTTGGAGGTGAGTCAGAAGAAACTTAACTATATAATAAAAACTATGCGAGACGGTACTGTATGTCATATAAGCAAATAATTGCGATGGATCACTTTTAGATCGAGAATTTGAAGACAAACATAATTTATTGTGCTATTTGAAAAATGAAAAAGCAGTCCCGAAACAGCTGAAATTGCATGAAGGTCAAGCAAACGACTTCAGATAGATCAGCATAGTCAAAGCTCTATTTTCTAGTAAAAATTATAGCACTTTTTCGACTGCACAATATTGTGAATAGAGATCTTCAGTAAAGTGAGGCTAGCGCCTGAATGGAACATCGTATCGACCTCGACCTGGTTTTGTTTTGTAGAACCGGGTGAAAAGCTATCGTAGCTGAAATAACCCATTTTTCATCAGAAGTAGACCAAACCTTGCCAACGATAACTCAGTAGGGTTCGACTTTGGAAAAGGTTGTTCTCTATGAAAGTCTACAAGATATACGCGGAACAGTTTCTTTTGTCTAACCTAAAAAAGTTTGAAAAATTATTAATTAAAATATTTTAAAATCTTCATTTAACTTCTGTTTAAAGTTCTGTTTTGGAATTCCTTTCCGCTTATTCCCTGCAGAATATATTATACTATATCTACGCGTCGAGGGAAATGAACAAATTTATCTGTGCGTGGAATGTAGTCAACGTCCACATTTCACGCGTTCAGTTGTTTTTGATGGCTTCCCTAACGCATAAAACAAGGTTTCCTTTATCGTTCTTCATAATTCATGTTCCTTGGCCCAAGAGATCCGATTCCTTATGCTTCTTATACTTCTTGGGACAAGAAACGAGATTTCTTTGCTGGGTGAGCAAAGAAATCTGATCTTGTATTTTTCGGTACTAGAAATTCAATTTCTTGAACCAAGATCTTGGCCAAGAAATCAAAAAAAACTTCCACTAGGGTATATATAGTGCGCACTTGCAGTCCTTTGACAAGGAAAAGAAAGAATTTAGGCAATTAACCGTACACTTTTAGTACTGTCCTATAAATTAAACATTTTTAATGATAATAAGGCTGTACTTTAATATTCGTCGCAACTGTAATTTATTCAAGAATGGTTCAGCTTCAGTCTGCCCATTAAGTCTCGAGGTGTCAGTAGCCATCGTTGGCACCTCTGAGTTTTAGTATGTAGACTGTGCAAGAAGTGTATCTCATATAATCCCGTGAATGCACTTCAGATATAGGTGAACTTAAGTGAAATTCATTGGATGAATTTTAAACTTCATGGTGAAGCACTAAAAAGAACTCATTTAATAAAAACAATTTCTTCTGCTTCTGCCAAGAAGCAGTTACACAGATATTCCATGATGTCATTAGTCTACATGAATATTTATTCAACGTCGCATAATGAATTTTAAAGTTTCATTCAATGAATTTAACCGAAGTTCACCTATATTTGAAGTGCATTCATGTCGTTATATGAAATACACTTCTCGTACAGTCTACATACTACTTGCAGGTGGCAATAGCTCTTGGTGACACCTCCAGTAGGTGTCAAAAGCCCTTCAAGGTGTCAATAGACTTCAAGGCCCAAAAGAATAACATGTGCGAGTCAACCTTAGGATGCATATTTTAATCTTCAGTTTGCCAGAAATTTATCTTAGAACTTATCTAATCAAGCTTCGTTTTTCTTCGTATATTTCCTGGCTTCCTCTGTGTGTTATTAGCACACAACATAGGAAAAAAAATAAAAAGCCTTTTCATGGTAGGGGGCCCTCTAGAAGTTATCAAAACGACTACAGTAGGCCAAATAAAAATACTCAATAGACTCGTGTATACGTGAAACCATCCATCGGTTATCATATGCTTATAATTCTAGACCGGTTTTAGTCTCGAGATTCTCGCTTCTCGTACATGCATTTTTGTTTCCATAGCTTCAGATGCAAACAAACTCTGTAACAATAAACTAGTTAATATCTGACATGGGATCTGAGATATTCTCTAGTAATGTTCTTAGTTGAATCAAATGAAAATTTATAGTGTGTAGGTTTGTACATGAAGGGCTATCTTTCGGCAAGAAGAAATCCGTGAAAATCGGGGTGTAAATCCCTCCCCCTGTACCAAAAATGGCAAAAACTTCTAAAACCGTTCAATACGGCAATACACCTATTGTTGAATAGCAAAATCTATAGCGACCACCACTATCTGTCAACGTTTCTCCACCTTAAACATTCTGCCATTTTAAACAGCTTTCTAATAGTAACTATATAAATGATATAAGATAACTATATAAATAAAAGCTTTAGACAAATATTAAGCTGTAAAAATGATATTATAAAAACATCGATTGTTCTGAATTAAAATAAGTTGATATATATGGGAAAAAAAATTGAATGTATACCGTCCTTTTTCGTCTCCAATGTGAATATGAAGCAAATTTCATTTCAATTGACCGTAGTCATGTTGTTATTTTCTTTCCACCGCCACCACTCTTTGTTCCTGCTTTTGTTGCGCCTTTTCCACTGGATACCCCTCCAATTGGTTTCTTTTCAACGTCTTTTATAACACCAACAGCAACGGTTTGCCGCATATCACGGACGGCAAAACGGCCAAGTGGTGGAAAATCAGCAAATTTCTCAACACACATCGGTTTTGATGGGATCATTTTAATCATGGCAGCTTCCCCGGATTTCAAAAACTTTGGTGATTCTTCAATTGTTTTACCTGAACGACGATCAACTTTTTCTAATAATTCAACAAATTTACATGCAATATGTGCAGTATGACAATCTAATACAGGCGCATAACCTTGACCGATTTGACCAGGATGATTTAAAACGATCACCTATAAACAAATAGAAAAAAGATTTGCATATTTCAATCAAGATTGTCCACTTATTCCAGACGACAGGAACCAGAAAAGCTCAATTGTATGCGGTTTAAAGCTCGTTTTAGGTACGATACGAGTTTAATTTGCTAGCGCTTCTTCTGTTTATTCCAGAGGAATAAAAGGAGTAACAGTTCCTAGGAAAGAAAGTCCCTTTCTCCGAAAACTTTTAACTCTCTCCTTCTTGTAACGCCATGGACACGGCGGCTGGAGCACGCTATTGTTTGCCGAATGATACGTCATGACGTCCCTAATGGCGACAGACCTTCGTTGCAACTAACGAGCTTTTAAAAAACCGATTTTACCAGGATTTTGGCAAACGTTTTACATCAACACAACCGTCAAAAATTTTCTATATTAATGAAAGTGATTTTAATTCTGAGATTAGAGACCGCATGCTATTTTATCGAATGTGTATCGCTCTACGAACGTTTTTAATAATAAAATCTAGCAATTCTGACTACTGGTAGGCATGCACCAGGCATAATAGTTTTAGTCCTTTTGGAAAAGCTAGATATCTTGGTAAGCATTTCTTTCTAAATGTTTTCGAGATTGCCAGATTGTCAACAAAATCTGGCTCTACAAATTGAAATATGATAACACATATTAACACCTTTATTTCAATTACAGAAATGTTTTTGAAATTGATGAGTTTTGGGTTTGTACACGCTTTTACTATTTGCTGTTTTCCAAAACAGTCTGATGATGCATCGAGCAGGGAATTTGTAGTATTGTGGAGACAATACTTGTCTACATTTCTATCATCCAGAAAAGGACTTTTATTTAGAGTTCCAGAAATACAAGCTTGTTTCAACATCTAACCGATGGATGGTTTCACGTATAGACTAGTCTATTGAGTATTTTTGTTTGGTCTACTGTAGTCGTTCTGATAACTTCTACTGCTAATTTTAACTAAGCGGAATTTTTCACAGTCTCCACACTCTAAAAAAATAGCGTCGTTTACTACACCCAAAAGGGGTTTAGCAAAATGCAATGATACGCTACTGCTTCAAAAGTTTAGTAAAAAACCCTTTTAGGGTTTAGTACGCTTACTAAACCTGAAAGCGGTAGCGGGTCATTGCATTTTACTAAACCCCTAAAAAAAGGTTTAGTAAACGGTTTTTGACGTCTTGTTAAATCTTTTCTACTTTTGCCTAAAGCTTTCTGCTTTATAAAATAAAAAAACATGTTGCCTGCGCTCGGATCGAGCTGAAGAATGGTGCAGCTCACTCACCGCCTCAGCCAAAGGTTAACTGTCGCACGGTCAACCAAAAAAGTACCTTGTCAGTTAACTTGATGTGACTTTTCTAGCGATTCAACATCTAACCGATGGATGGTTTCACGTATAGACTAGTCTATTGAGTATTTTTGTTTGGTCTACTGTAGTCGTTCTGATAACTTCTACTGCTAATTTTTTAACTAAGCGGAATTTTTCACAGTCTCCAGTACCTATAAAAATCGGTATTTTTCTCACTTCTTCGACTCATTATTGGACTCCTTCAAGCTACAAGTAAAACTTACTTGTGCAATAAAACTTATTGCTTCTTGAGCTGGATCATTTCTTGCATCTGAACAAACCAGACCACGACGTAATTCTTTAACTGCGATACCTTTAACATTAAAGCCAACGTTATCACCGGGTAATGCTTCTAAAAACGAAAGAAAAAAGCATGCATTCGCGTTATATATTTCTTGATGAGCATTCTAGAGGATATCTTTCTTAGCATTCTATGTACTCTATGCGAAACTATCAGTTTATTTAAAAAAACTTACCTTCTAAATCACCATGAAACATTTCAATTGATTTAACATCTGTTGATAAATTTGTTGGTGCAAATGTCACCGTCATAT